GGGCATGGAAAGGAGAGGATATGGGGGAAAAGGGACGGGGACGCAGGGCATGGGGACATGGGGATGAGGGGACACATGGGCAGGGGGACACAGGCATGAGGGGACAGGGGGATGAGGGGCATGGGGAAATGGGCACAAGGGGACACAGGGACGAGGGGACACAGGATAAAACCAAGGGGGAATTTTCAAAGGATCCAGGCTCCGAGCGTCCCCGTCCCCCCCGGTGCGGGCGGGAGGTGGCCCTGGCACCGCTGGTGCCACCACAGGGCTCCCCTGCTCCAGAGGGACCTCTCAGAGACCCCAGTCCTGCAGATTCCTGGGAACACAGGGGCCTCTCCTGCTGCTTTCTCGTTTTAGCAGCTTGGCAGTTTATTGGGAAGCAGAAGAAAGTCTGGGAATGAGGCACTTGGAGCGCGGGATACCATTTTACACGTTGACCATAACCCCCAGGCACTGTTTTGGGGCATTTGGAGTGTTTTCTGTCACCTGTGGCAGCAGGAGGGGGTCTCGAACGTGCCCAGGAACCCAGAGTTGGGATCCGGGTTGTGACCCGGACCCCCGTTCTGGGGGAATCTGCGGCCTTTTGGGGCTGTGCTGTCACCTTGGCTGTCACGGGGCTCTGGTGCAGGGTCCATTGGGGACTTGTAATGACTGTACCCGTCTCACTGCCCTGCAGCCCCCTTTCCCTGGGGATTCCCTTCGCCAGGACAAGGAGCTGGAGTGGGGGCGGCTCCCGGTGCCCGCGGAGCCCCCAGCCCTGCGTGGCACCGTGTCCCCCATGTCCCTGCGTCCCTCTGTCCCCATTCCCATGGTCTGGCTTGTCCTGGGATGGGGCAGGGGGGTGGGTCATTCCATGCTGGAGGTTTTGGCCCCTTCCTGTAGCCAAAAGAGGTAAAAAGAGGCCCCGAGGTGGTGGTGGGGGGATGTTCATTAATGTGTCCCCCCCCTTCATTAAATGCTAATGAGCAGCTGCTGCTAACGACCTTTCCCTGGTGCCGGGGGGCACCGGGGATATTGGAAGC